CCCAATGTTACCAGAGGTTTTGGGCCATGACTAACAAGGGTACAGAAGGAGTTCAGACTTTTACAGATCTAAAGATCAGTTCTCTGTCTACCCTGGACAATAATTTAAGGCCTTTCTTTACAGCCTCTTAAAGCCCAACAAAGAGAGAGATGTTACAGGGAAATGAAAACAAAACCAGTCATACATATGGAGGCGTCCAAATTTCAGGATACAGGTCCATCCTAAGCAATACCACAAGAAAAGATTTTATTTAGGCGGTTCTAGTCCTGGATGAGAAACACACTGTGCTTGGTGTGTTTCTCACAAGGAACAAGAAGGCAGTACCAGCTCCAAATCAGGTATCATCTAGGTAACATGCCAACAGCTTTGATGGATAGTGGAATTTATTAAAGTAACTTGAGAGGTGGCAATTTACAGTAAGTTAGGTTGAAACTGTACAATAATTTTTAAGAATGGTTTCCCACGGTTGCGAATTTATACTCACTGAATGCAGCATGTAGATAAGATCTTTAGTGACCTTTCTCTGGGGTTTAGCCATTTGAAACAAAGTAGGAAAGAAAGATCATGGCTTCACTGCATTTGAAATTAGAATTTCAAAATTGTTATACTTTCTGTGCTTTGATAATAGAACAATGAAACCAATGAAAATTCACATTAAGCATTTAGTCATTATGGAAACTCGGTAACACCTTTGATTTTTTTTTTCCCTTGAGTGCTTTGCTAATAGGTCTAAAGTGCCAGTGAACAAGAAAACAATGTTGAAAAGTAGGATGTAAGTGGGATTTGCATTCAAATAGTCCATAATATCCTTAGCCTTAAACCACTTTCTGAAAAAACTAAACATATATAAGAAAAGAAGCTATGCCAGTAAATTTAAATAAGTAAAAAATAACAGAAGTGCCAGATTACTATTCAACAGAATGTTTTACAGCAGCCAAAAGGACATTCAGAACAAAGAGCAACACAACAGCCTTTCTAGCCTTTTCACTGTGATGCTACCAAGCCCCATAATCTTTTCAGACCATCCACCAGAAACCCAAACCAATGTTCTTACCTTGGCATTGAATTTGGCAACAAAATCAAAGTGTTTCTTCAGGTCAGTAGCCAAAATTGCCTCAATGACGAGGAAGCGGAAATGCTTGAACTCAACGTGGTCGAGGTTGACCAGGAAGTTGTACTCTGGCCTCGACATGAAAAGGTTCCAGGCAGCAGCAGCGTGGTGGTTCTCCAGGACGGAGCGGTCATTGTACAGCACTGCCTGTGAAAGCAATGCGGGCAGCTGAAAGCTGAGAAACCTCTTAGCAAAAGAAACACCAACGGAGAAATGAGAATGATGGGGATGATGCATGAGGGAGGTTCAGATTTGGTTGATTGGTTTGTGGGGTTTTTTTTAAAAGAACTTCTCAAGGTTTGAAGATGTGATTTTGGCAGAACTAATAGCAGACACCTGAATTGTTGTAATGGTGAAGATTTATTGGAAGATTGATCTGAAAAATCTGGGTCTTTCATGCACAAGGGTTTTTGGTTCCTGACTGAACTGCATCATATGACAATAGTTTATTTTGTTTCAGGCAACAAATTAATGACTAACATAATATAGGTGTGTGCTTCCCTGTTTCTCAAAACTAACCTCACTTAACAGGGATTATTGTCTTTAGTGTTTGTACCTGGCAATTCTGTCCATATTGTACTGATTCCAAACACAGAAACAAGTGAAATTCTACTTTGCAGTCTGACAACACACACCCAGATTGACAGATTTCTCAATGCTAAAATCCAAACTTGGTTAAATCTTTACCAAAATGCATAACTTAACGTATGCATAACTCTCATAGTGATGGCAATTCCATTCAGAAACTAAGGAAAGATTTAGAAAATGGATTTCAGGGGACAACAACCATCCAGGAAATCTCTCCACTTTAGCAACATTCAGTCTTTTGACAATTTGGTTTATGGAAAGAAAAGCTTTTGGAAATTTGCTTCTATGTAAAACAGATACAAGTTTTGTAACTTTTTAGACAAATATATACACATACATTCCAGTGGCTTTTCACTTCAATTATACTTTTTCTGTCATCTAGAGATGAAAAAATTTAATCATAGCCTAAAGTATAGAATCTATTCTTTACCCCAGAGAACAGGTTGCTGAAGCAATTCAGCTTTACAGCCTCTCTTGCCTAAACTGCACAGTAAGCATTTGAGATAATAGATACATTCTGCTACCCAGGCCCAACTCCTGAGGGCAGTATTTAATACAGCAGCACTTTGTCATTACTGGAAGCTGATACTGCTTGTTGTGAAAAAGAAGAAAAAAACTTAGATGCCAAATAGAAGTTCTGCAAATTTCAAGTGATATCAGACTTAAAAAACCCCACAACTAAAACCAAACAACAAACCAAAACCCCTCAAAATAACAAGAATAATTTGACTTTTTCCCATTAATTTATTTTCAAACTAGGGACAATATATTAAGGCTAATCATCTGACTTTCTTTATTGATTTTTATAATCACAGAGCTGTAACATTTATTTCTTAAAAATAGATTTAAGGATAGCATACATCTTCTATCAATCTATTTAAGTGGCCAGAGGATCGAGGTTCTTGATCACAGAAAGTTGTTGCAAGGATGAGAAGTATTACTATCAGTTTATAGAAAGAAACCGATACAGAGCAAGTTCAGGTGACTTGCTATTGGTGAGAGAGGAGGTCTGGATCCAAGTTGGGGAGTAAACCTAGAATACCTGCATCTCTACCCAACTTCTCACCATTAAGCTATCATTTTTTCTTTCCTTGTCCATAGAAATATTTTTCAGCACAGTATGCTGAAGCCAGGCAGGTCAGCTTATGTAAAGTAAGGAAAGATGATCTCATAATTAAGCCAATAAACAGGGATTCAGAATTGCTAAATTCAACTCCCAGCATTGGCATCAACTTCTGTGTAACCTTAGGTAAATCTCAATTCTTCATTTATAAAACTGAGATTATTTTCCACACACACCCCTGTCCCGGTAGATGCATAATGTAAAAATACATTCATAAAAGGCTGCAACTGCTCATATTCCATAGGAACACTAGAAAATTTGTTATGGTCATGCACAAATTAACTTGCATGGTACACTGTCAACTATACAGGTGATTTTTAATTTTATTTTAATCTTTTTGGCCTTACTGGGTAGAATAATTCTTCCCTAATTTCACAGTTACAGGTTTTCTATCAGTTAGCAGAGCATTAGCTTGTTCTTTACTGAGACATTTTATCAATACCTTTCTGACCAGCTCTACTTACTGAGGGTGGTGAGGGTATGTAAGAAGACTCTTATGGGTAATCCCCAAGTGAAGTTATTATTTCTGTCACTTGGATAAGCTGTTTCAAAATATTTGGTAGACTTGTGCTCAACAGCAGCCATAGGCACCACTGGCAAGGAGAATCAGTTACCAAAGACCTTCCAAACTTAACAGCAATGCTGCTGCAGTTTTATTTACCTGAGGAGCACTCGTTGCTACCAAAAAGGCATTGGTCCTTCCTGGGTGATCATAATCATGCATGGCTGCAGCTACATAAAGAGCCATCAATTCAAGGGCAGGGATGTTACCCGCTAGGCATCCGTAGCTGTCATCTGTAGGTGTGTATGTCTTCGAAAACACATAACCCATATGGCCATGAGTGATTCCACTGTCAGAATCTGAGCAGAAATAAAGAAATGAAAAAAAAAAAAAATCCTTACCACTTTTTCAGTGACTTACTGAAACAGACAGAAGCAACAAAGTAGGAAAATAAGGAGAAAATTTACAATACATAACAGAAGAATAAACACAACCTGACCCCAGTGCTTTCTGATACTTTGCACATGATCTAGTGCGATAAGGTACACAATTGGAAAGGAAGAAATTCTGATCCCACCTGGGGATCTTCCAGCCATCCAGCAGAGCCTGTTCTCAAACTATGCAATATACTAGCAATGAGCCATGGATTCATGGCCATGCTGGAGCTTTGTGGGTAACTTGATTTCTTGATTTTCCTACTACTTCCTCTAATAGATTCACCATATACATTAGTCTATAAGACGCTAAGACTCCTTAAAGCAATGGACTAGCATTTATTAATTCAATTATGGTGCATGCTTTCCACTCCAAAGGTCTAGACTTTGGATCTTTGCTGATAATTCTCTCAACAGCCTCTTTTTGAAGGAGCTTGAACATGCCTGTCAGAGGCAGATACTAAGTGAGATGCTCTGCTAATTAAATCTGCTTGAATGGATCAAGCTTACGTGCAGCTTAACAATGTCTTTCAAATAACAAACATCAAAAAGCCCCAAAAGTCAACCCCTTTCATTCCACCCATTTCATCTCACCTACAAAGCCTCCAACGACCCTTGCTAATAAAATTTTCCTGGAATAAAAATGTTTCCCGCCCCACCAAACCATCCTGAAGAGTTTCACAAATGATATATACATGCCACACAAACACCACTAAAAAAAAGCAGAAGTGGAAGTGGTTTCTGCGGAACAAACTCTTGCTTTTCCTGTAACTCCCTCAGAACTCCTACAAAATACAGGCAGGTCCTCTAGTTCCTACAAATGAATCTGGAGAAGTTAATATAAAGATGCAATAGGAACAGCATCCTGTAAGGAGCAATCATAAAACAGCAGACGAGTGGTTGCAAAATGGTAACAAGTCTCTTTGGAGACAGTGAAGAAAGGCAAAGGAACATTTTGTGACAGCCAAGCAGCAGCAAGTGCATGGTACTGCGTGCCCCAGTGGTTTTGTAATAGCAAACCAATATAGAGAATGAGGATTTAAAAGTTCTACGCTGCTTCTGGAGCAGTGCTGAAAAGCACTACTAATACAGTTTTCCTAGAAAAAAAGCTATTGTAAAAATCAAATGGTAACAAGCATCTGTTATGGGTGACCACAAAGGCTTCCATTTACACATTGTTAAATGTAAAGTATTAGGTTTTGGAGGACCAATTCCATTTTCTTCAAAGTTACACAAACATGCCTTAACACCTTCAACATCCAATGTGCCGCTGAACTTAAAAGTCTATCTAATAACAAGTACTGCATGCAATCCTCAATTGTTGGCTTTCTTACCGCAAATTTCATGACAAAAACTTTAAAAATACAACATATATACTTGCACATTTAAATATACCTGAATCGCTTGCTGACCCGTGATCATTAATCACAGTTGGGAGTCCTGGGATGGGCTGAGTAGTAAGATACCAAACGGCATGTAGAACATCAGTTGCATGGATTCGGTTGTGATCTGTGATACAAAGCAAATGACCCTGCTATTAAACATGAAGGATATTTCCAAGAGAAGGAAATCAGCACCATCTAGTGGGTACCGTGTGGCAGTCAATCAAGCAGAGACAAATCAAACATCATCACAAGCATGAAAAAAAGCTGTATTCCCTAAACGCTCATTTTTTCTTTTACTAAAGTTGAAGCACATTCAATGGTATGTCCTACACCAGTCAAGAAACAGAAAACAGCAGAGAAGCAGCGGGATCTGCAATATAGGAAACTTTGCAAAAAATGTGTCAAACAAGGAAGCTGACTTGTGCTACCAGATCCAATCCTTTACTCCAGTGGTTGCCTTTAGCTAGTTAAATGCCATCACGTAAATATGCACTGTTAACCTCTGATTCAAATTAAATCAGTGGGAAAATCTCATCCACTTCAGTAACCAGATTTCATCTAGCTTCTAAACACATGGCAGGTAATACTTACCTGACTCTACCTGAGCAAATTTAGGTGCTGTGCTAGCAGCTGCACTTTAAAAAAATCAATCTCAGGATATGTGTACACTGCACAGTTAAACCGGGTTCTTTCTGCAGTTTTCTGACCGGAGAGAAGAGTTCAGGCCCTGGATCCTGTAATCTGGCTTACACAAGCTCTCTTTGCAGAAATAAGAGATAAAAGTCAGCCTGAGGCTCATACCACCAAATCCTTCAAGGCCAGATAAACTGTCCCACAATCAACACAACTGGCTGAAAAAGAATCAGCATACGGTATCATCTATGCATCCAGGAACAAAAAGCAACCATGATGCTGAAAGAGGAGTAACACTTTGTTGCACCAGGACTGAAGGTTAAATCTGGGGTTAAACCACTGAAGGACAAGCATTTCAGTTTGTGATGTAGGCTAATTTTGGGCAGAGCATGGGTATCTTCTACAGTGACTAGCTAAACAAAAACAAATTTGCTAATTTGAATGATAACCTGTGACTACTTTACTGCTGCTGCAGCTCTGGAAAGATGCATTTCAGCAGACAAAGCACAAAAATGTCAGACTCCAGTGCTGGGTCACCTCCATCTGTAAAACTCACAGTAAATGGCTACATCTCCAGGTAATCAGCCATCTTAGTTGGAGACACCTTGGTAATGCCAATCAGTCCTGGGTCTCTCGTTGGCAAACCAACTACTGGAACAGACTTAATGAGAACAGGTGAACATAACTAGGTTATGCTGAAAAGATAACAATCAAGAATCAGGATAACACTGGAGATGATATGTATCCTTCCTTAGGAAAAATTACCAACATGCACGTCCAGAAGCCCTCTCTAAGAACCAATAAATAAAGTTGGATCCATTAGGAGTGAAAACCCCTCTGTACTCTAGGGGAGTAGAAGGGACTGGCAGCAAGATGTCTAAGCAAGCTGGTTTTACACCTGCTGCATCTTAAAGATAGGCAGTGTGCAGCTGATGGAGGGTTTCTCAGCACTGAAGTTCACTCTTCTTCTATGGGAGAAGAGGAAGGAAAGAGAAGACTTGGGATGGAGAAAGCACCACGGAGAGCCACGTTTGGCCTCTAGCCACTGCTCGGGGATGGATAATGCCTGCTCCTGCTGGGAACAGCCACCTGCCCCCCTCAGAGCAGCACTGCTGAGCCCCTCTCTGCCATAGCCAGCCTCTGCCACCAGCCTGCATTCTCCTGGCTCTGGCAGAGTGGGGCTCACCGTCTTGCTGACCCTACACTCCTGTGCTGGAGGCAACCACCTACTTTGTCTATGCCTAAAATCAGCAGTATCCTGTCTGCCAAGGGCAGATGGGTGCAACACAGAAGGGTTTATTATATTCACAATTTGCAATCATTTTTCTTACTCACTAAAAGCGAGCATGATGTCATGCCACTTAGCCCTTTTATTTAGCCCTTGGTTTCCTTTCTTGCTCTCCTTTATCTTTCCTGTGACCTTCCCTTTAAATACTTATTAGCGACCGCTAGCTGAAATTTTTAACAGCAAAACAGTAAGCAGCATAGGAATGGTTATTTTTGGAAAGAAGAAAGTAAAATAAGGAAGGAGTCTCCTCTCCCCTGCCTTCCTCGAAGTACTAAGAACATCTCTCCTAAGACACTAATCTCCTCATGCAAAACCTAGAGGATGGCCCTGCATAGGGGTCTAATGCTTTTCTCAGGAGTAAAGGCTGGATTAGCCTCTTGTGAAACTTGTGCTGATTTAATCCAACTGGGATAGTCGCCATTAGTTTTGTGTGAATAATCCCTTTTTCAGTTCAGCAACCAGAAGAAAGGAGTGGTTAAGCCCAAACAAGTTGGTTTGGTTTTTACCCTTTCACAAAAATGAAAAACTGGAAGTTAAATTAATTTTGTATTAGACAAAATATTCTGCTTCACTAAAGCAGAACACACTTAAGAAAAAACAAGGAAATGAAGGGCTAGATTCACAAAAATTCCTGAGACTCTACGAATAGTTAAATGTTTTAAACAAAGAGGACTGGCACCAATAGGACAGACAGACTGTGGAGCATTCACCTATAACCCCCTCAGGCTATAATATGCTGCTTCAAATCCCTGATCAGCTTCGAACACAAGGAAAGATTTGAAATTTGGTGTCTCACTTTCCCAGAAGAGAATCCAAACCACCTGGCTGTAAGGCATTTTGAGGTTGCTTTCCTTCAATCCCTCCCACTGCAGCTGTTCCAACTGGTATTTAATATTTTGAAAGAGAGACTGTATGACTTATTAAAACAATGTTTCAGACATTTTTCTGGGAGGTGGGAGAAAGCAGAGCATCCTATATTCATCAACACTGGGGTTATCTGCCAGCTAAAGGGGGTAATAAGTCCCTCTCTCCTCCTGGAAAAAACAGACTTTTGCAGTTGAAGTGGTTTGATAAATTTGATTTGAATTAGTAAATACTTTGGGGATGAACTAAAAGCAGGTGGGGTTTTTTTTATCAGTGAATAAATGATTCACACTGAAAAATATCAGCTGAGCTGTTGCTGCAGAAGAACAGGATGCACTCGCCTACTTGGCACATTTTTTCTGCTTTACAAAGCTCATCTCCTTTGGTAGCATAGCACTGCTACTGTGTAAAAATCCAAGTTGCTTATGGGGTACAAATGTTTCGATAAACTTCAATTGGGGCACTGGCGTACACTTGCATCATCAGGAAACAGTACTTTGTACCTATAGTAGCTTTATATAGCTTCAAGTTTGCACAGAATTTGCCATGAATTATTATGAAACAATATGAAACATTAAATGCAATGAAAAAAAAGATGAGAGGCTGTGGTACAGCACCAGCTTCTGACTAGAGCGCCATCCATTTGGTTGTGATGTAGCAGAAGAAAAAAAGTAGTTGTTATAATGACAGAAGAAAGGTTTCATTAACAAAGTGCACAGAAAACACCCAAAACTTTAAGGAAGCATTGTTATCTTCTGGGAATTTTTACTTACAGGGTATCTCTCGGTATCCACATTCCAAGGCATGAAAGTAGTTCATAAATTCCCTCACTGGTATTTTAAAGGTTTCAAACAGCCCCATATCTTCAAAAAGCCTGTATGATACCTGAAAAAAAAAAAACCCAAAACAACCATGCTGCTAAATAGACCAGAAAAACACTAAAAATTAGATATAAAAATCATTCTGTTGAATTACCCCATGAAAACCTACTTTCCTGGTAGTATTTTCTCAAGCACATCTGATCCAGCTATAGCTGTAGTTATTTGCATTTCCACAGGGATGTGGCTACATAGCTAAACAGGCAAGCTATTAGTACCAAAGAGTCCTCCTCATTCCTTCATTACACCCTTCCAGATGATGTTCTCTTCCTTTCAGGCATATGAATCCCTAAAATTTAGCAAGCACCTCAGAAACATACAGACGTAAAGGAAGATATCCAAAGGTCTTTAGTGTCTTGGGAAAAATTTCTCTGCAAACTTCTCCAAGGAGCATCCATGAGTCTAATCAATTCCCAGAAAAAGGGGGGACATGTGAAGGAATGACAAAAGGACAGAACCATTTAGGTCCTATGCATTATCTCCTTTCCCTCTCCCCCATTTTGGAAGTGAAATGGCAAAAGTGACTTCTCTAACAGGATTTCAGAGGCAGCAAGGAAGCAGAGCTGCTCCAACTGCTCCTGCACAGAAAGATGACTGTGGACATCCAGGAGAGGATATGTGGAAAGGGAGAATGGGATAGATGTGTGAGGGGGTGTTCAGGAGAGACAAGTGCTCAGAAAGGTAGACAGAAGCTGCTGCAAAATGGACACTTTAGAAGACAAGTTTGAACTTGACATACAGAGCAAACACAGTAAAATTACTGCCTTTTACACTTCTTTCACAAATTGGACCCTAAAGCCTTTCAGCTTCTTTATTTATTTACTGCTGTTAGCTAAATTCTGTTCTTTTGATGCCATCTGTCTGGTAATGATCTGCCTAGAGCTAAGCAATTCGAAGCACATTTAGAATGATGAGTGCTATACTGATAAGAAATTGTTACAAATTATGTTTTGTATTTTACACCTGAACGTAAACCAAACAGCTATCCACACCCATTTCTTTCTGTATATTGTGTATATAAATTGGGACCTGTGAGCTGCACCCAAAGTTTAATGAACATAAACTTCAAATGTCCTGCCACTGTAAGGATAATAAAAAAGGACAGGGATTTGCAGCATTAATGATCCCCACCTCCCCTCCTAGTCATTCCCTACCAGGAAAAATCTGCATGTGAACGAACTCTGGCAAAGCATTGCAACAGGCAGTGACGATGCAGAGACAGGTAGAGTGTGGTGCCTGACACCATCCGGCATGCCCCTCTAATGACACATATCTGACAGCTGGGGTTCTGCTGGTGGCCCCAGCTCTTACTTCTGTTCCTACCATAACCGTATAAGTGCCACTGGCAACGCAGTCAGAAGAATCACTGCTGATGCTTAATTGCTCTTTGTGACAATGGCTGTAGGCCATAAAGTGAAAAGTTCTTTATAGCAAAGGAGCTAAGGAACTACAGAATTACAGTGCTCTGGAAGACAGGAGCTTAGAATGAAAGGCAGGGCCTGTAGAAGGCAAAACTTTACTCGCTGAAAATCTCATGGGATCCTCCTGTACCAAGGCAGAGTGAAGAGGCTGACTTTATGCATAATTTGGATTAGAAATTGCACAGAATTCTGTTTATCTATCTGGAATCATGGCTGAAGTAAATCAGCCAGGATCCAAATTTTTACCTACAGAGAGATAAGGTATTTAACACTCTAATCTTAGATCACTGAATGGTAAGCTTCATATTTCCAGTAAAATATCTCTGTATAAAAGAGGAAGCATAAAGAAATATTATTCTGCAGGACCAAACCTTACTGGTCTACACTACCAATATTGGACAGGTATCTTAAATAAAGCATGTCATAAAAATATGTTTTTCCTCCCCTTGGATTTTGAGGGCCAGGAAATTCCACAGCAGTTGAAAAGAAGCAAACCTGACTGTGATGGATATGAATGATTACTCTTGCCCATGACTTGGAGTAAAATGGCATTATTCTCTGTGGTCATTAGAAAACATAAACAGCCAAGCAAGTCATCTGGACATTTTTGTAATGTTTTCTTTCTTTCTTAGCAAATGGAGAGGAGGAAGGGATAAAGGCAGGTCAGAAAGGAAAAAAGGGCATTGATGTCTTCCAGAAAGTCAACTAACTAAATTCTTTTATTTAAACAAAAACAAAACCAAACAAACAAAAAAAAACCAAAAAAAAAAAAAAAAGGAAAACTGTGCAGTTTTGTTTATTCATTGCTCTGGATTAACCATTTTTAAATGCTTCTGTTTTTTAAAATCCTTCCTGCCCAAGCTGCATGCTGCTGCATGAGCTCCCTGGTAGTTAGAATCCCATGGGCTGAGCATGGCATCCCTGCAGCCACAGTGCGGTCCCCACTGCCAGGGACAAGCCCAGGGAAACTCCAACGGCTGCCAGGTGCTTGGCAGTGGGTGCTCCACACTGCCTCTTCCCTCCAGCCTCCCTTTTCTGCTTGTTTCTGCAATGATTGCTAACACTTGAATGAATCATTTATAGCTTGGATACTTCTGGCAGTGCTGCCTGAAGAAGGACAAGAACTTCTCCCAGATGATTCCTAATGGAAGCTGTTTTGCAAATGGAGATTGTTATTCACGTGTTGCTCCTCTCCTGGGTGTTGCAGGCACACATAAATGGCTCTCGTTGGAGGACATGTGCAAAGTTTAGGTTAGCAGTTCCCTCCTTGTTGTTTGCAGGCAACCCTCTTGCACTCCTTTTTTGTCTCTTGTACTGGCTTTCTTCAAACCTGTTTCTTTTAAGCTGTCGGCACCCAGTCTTTGGCTCTGACAAACACAACACCTCACAAAGGCCGCCGTGATGATCCCGGGAATATTCCATCCCTCAGTGACTGACTTCCCTCGTTCCTTCATATAGCAGCTGCATTTTCTCTCTGCAGAAGCCATGCGTGATGACGAGATGACCAAACATTCCACTTGGCACCACCCAGGGACCAACTCTCAGGCACTGCAATGATGCCACCCTGCCTCGATGCTGCTTGTGCACTGAGAGCAGAGGATCACCACCAGCATTTCTTGTCTCTATGGGCCTAGTAATAAAAGCTTTAGAGAGACCTTGACTTTAGCCTATTTTTTTTCATTTAATTTGCTTTCCAAGGCAAATAAGTTTCTCTTCCACAGGTTTTAGTTTTATAGGAGCTGTAATAAGAGTGTTAAGTGTGAGTGATGACATTATCTTAACTTTATGGCCTGTTTTGAAGCATCAACTCAGTTGGAGAGGTCTGCTGTTCCTTTCTGAAATAAGACTGGTATGTAAATTCCTCTCTAACCTCTATCATGCCTATTTGTTAGTGCCACATTTAGAGTGCTTGCCACTGTACTTTGCACAGATGCTTTTATGGCCACTGACTAGTTGGGGTCTTTTTATATGTCTAAATCAATTTAACATTCCCAAAAGAAGAAACAGACATCTCAAGCAGCTTTAAAGATGCTAAGCCAGCATTTGCTTTCTAAACCGAATGCTTCCCTAGAGGCACGTGTCAACTCCGCTTTGTTCCATCTCATAAATTTAACCTAGCAAGGCAAACATAGTTAATTCAGCTTGTTAATTTACTTATTTTTAATGGATGAGTCCATTTAATGGTAAAACACACAGAATAAATCATTAGAGCCTTTGTTTTCCTTTGTTTATAATATCCCAGGATTTAAAAATTATACAAGAAAAAGATAATACTTTTGGCTGGAGAAAAAGACTTATTAATTTTAGTTCTCATATTTCTGAAAATAATTTTGTTAGGAACATCTGAGTAGGTGGGGGAAAGAACTAAAAGATCTATATTTTATGAACAAGGTTGAACTTGCTACATTCTGCTCTTAGGGAGTGGGAGTTATTACAAACAGCCGTTACAGAAAATGCTGAATTTTGATCACAAATATTATTTATTAAACCTTCCTTATTTTATTTCACAGGCCTCATTTTGTGGCACTGCAAAGCAGATAACATGCTCAGAAACTGTGCAAAAAACAGATGTTGAGAAACAGCGTGGAGATTTAGTGCAAATTGAGGGAGGCACAGGGGAATTGTCCTGAGTGGTACAGAACTGCATGCAGCTTGGCAAAGTGCTTAAAACCTATGTTACTCGCCAAGCTACAGAACAATAAAAGGCAGACCACAGAATAAACTTGAATTCATGCCGTGGTTTTCCTGGTTGACCACTGGATAATTGAATCTAGCTGAATAATAGTGAACCACCATGGGACCAAGATTTGATACAGCATTCTCTGGAGCTCGTTGCACTGAGATCTGCCTGACACACTAACCTCTGTGTTTGTGGGTGGTGTTAATTGTCTCACATTATACCAATTAACATAATCTCTTCTTTCCAGCACTCATCACTACATAATGCCTTGCAAAGTGATACTAGATCAGACAGATTCTCTTGGGGTTTTTTCCCTTCCATCCCTAAATAATAATAATTACTTGCCTTTCCTGTTTAATAAACCTCAATACTTCCGTAAGGAAAAATGGCTAATTTGTCAGTGTGCCAGGAAAAAGGGCATAACAGAGAGAAATGTTCAGTCAAGGAAGTGATTATGGAAGTGACATTAACCGTGCTGGGGAGAGACAGGCTGTGTCAGGACCTGCATTCAACTTACAGGAGGGAATGAAAAACTGATAGTTGAAAGAAAGACTAGTAAGCTCACACCCTGATTCACAGTAAATTAGACTTCCCTATGTAATAATGATATGAATTTACTATCAAAGTGCTGACTCTTTAAGGGTGATAGAATATAGCAAGGACTACTTTTCCCCCCACTTCCTGGAACCTTGCTTCTTGCACAGCCTGACTGAAACCTCCAGTATTAAAAATCACCAAAGTTCTGTATTTCCTGCATCAACTGAATGTATTTACTGTTTAGCCCTCCCATGCTGAACCCCATGTGAGAGCCTTTCACAAAGAGCTCAGTAAGAGGTGGCAGCACCTCCTGCAGATAGAATATTTAGAAAGGTTTATGTAAACTCACTGGTAGAGAGCAGCAGGAAAAACAGGCGTGTGGTTTTTTCTTTCACATTTTTAAATTTTAAAATATAGACATTTAAAAGTAAGGAATATAATGAGACAAAGTTCATGTTGTCAGCTTTGAATTAGGTGGCAGGGATCACAACTCATTGGATGACCAGCTTGTAAGGACAATGGGTCTTAACACTACTTGGTCTAAATCTGTCAATAATCTAGCCGGTCACTGCAGACAAGATATCCTTCTCACCTGACTGAGAATCCGACCACATTTCTTTCCGATTTTTTCCACCAAGTCAAAGATTGGGAAGTTCCAACTATTTAGCTGCTCCATCAGGGGATCCAGGTTGTCCATAACCAGAGGCTCAGGAGCAAGTACAGGTTTGTCCTATGCCAGAAATCAGAATAAAGAGGAATTTTAGTTCTGTGAAGCATCTCATGCAAAAATTTATGCTCTTAAAAACTACAGTCACATTAGCATCATCTGTAAGTCAATGGTACTTTATTCAGCTCAGCAGAGATGTCCCTGTTTCTATCAGCCCTGCAGCTCTCCTTCATAATTTGTTTCACTTGAATGAATAGGAAATTCTGTATATGAAACATCCGTCTCTGAACTTATCCATGAGACACATTCATTGGTTCATTCATGGGAATTGTTCATTCATTTCCAAGGGAGTCTTTTTCATTGTAAAATTTGCTGCAGTACAGAGAGAAAAGCACTCAATTTCTACTTCCGCATCAGTATCCATTCATTACAATCTAATGTGGCTAATGGAGCTCTGTCCAAGTGAAGACTTGTACTTCTTAAACTGAAACCTCCCTGTTTTTCAAGGTCTGCAAATAAAAGATGGGTTGTGCCCCTCCTTTCACATTTCTTCCTGTATATTTCCTTGAATTTCATTATTACTAAGAAACTGTAGAGAAATACATGCCAAAATATCTCAAGAAAAATGTCTTCTCTCAGCATGTCCAACTCCAATTCAACAGATTACAACAAATTTTTCAAGAGCTCATGCCAACTTAAATTTATTAATTCAATTGTAAAACAGACTGTGGAAAATTTAACTAAACAAAGCTTTCCCTCTACATCTCAATCAAGCTTACAGCTGAATACAGTAGTTATGAGAAGATCAGCACTTGTTCTCCATACTGCAATGTTTTTATGTTCAAGACATACACCAACAATAATTTCATGCAGCACCCTCAGACAAATGTTAAATTATTTTAAAATAAGGACCATTCTATATGTCAGCCAAGATTGCAAGGCCATTGAGAAGCTGAAGTGGCCGAACAGGAAGACTATATATCATGCTAGCGGTCTGAGAAGATAATTTCTCTTCCCTCCAATCCAATTGCCTTTAAAGGCAATGCTAACACAGAAGCCAAACATTTTAGAAATGCCTAATGCCAGATCCATAAACTTATATTTATTCATCAAAATAGATGGTTAGTGTTTCCCAAGTGGCCGGTGCTTAGCAGCTCTCACACATTTCAATGGTTCCTTTCAGTTCCTGAAAGTCAGTCCTCCTACTGCAAGGTAGGAGCCTGCTGCAATTGCTTAAAACCATGGTCATGATCTGTACACGGCCCTAGGAGGTTTTTTTGTGGTGTTTCCCACCCCTCCTAGTGTCAGTATACACTCAGTAATTGTGTGAGTGGACCTTCAACAAGCTACCTCAGGTGGTATCAAGGGATGCAGAATGATGGTCTCGGGTGTGTACGTCCTACAGACGGATCCCTTCCGCGTCTGCTCTTTGGAGCAATCTGTCTCATCGTCGTTTTGTACGATATCGCTGCTATCACTGTTGTTGGTCTCATAGTCAGAAGTGGCTTGCGCAGGATCATCTACAACACAAATCACAAAGCTTGTTGTGTGAACAGCAAGGATTGCATGGAAGTCATCCTGTGACCTTCTGAATAATAGCAACAGGATCTCTGACTCATAATACATATGTGCTGCTTGGCTGGGTCCAAAGTTGGACAATCTGTCCAAAGGCATTAAAGCATATACCCTGCAGAGTGTAAAAAATGGGATCGGGGATTGAAAAGTGAGAAAAATTTTGAGGACCATTATTTGAGCTGACTAGGTTACATGAGGGAAACTATTTCCTTTATATTTTAACTCCATTCTTCATTAGTGTTTTGCATATTTTGTACATACAAAAGGGAAAGGAATGTCAAAGACAATGTGTATGGTCTCACCTACGTATGTTCTCCTTTTATGACAGACAGGCATATCTGCCCTTTCAGTGAATGATTATTGAATTTTAACGGATGAGGAGTTTTTGATGGACAAAGAATTACCTGTTCTGTTCAGGGTGTGTGTGGTACCATCATTTCTATCTAGTGTCCCATCACCAGCTTCTATTTGATTATAGGGTCTGCCACAGCTGAAATACATCAAGAAACATCCACAATATAAAGAACTATGCGCATCAGACAGTCTTATGTAAAATGATTTCTTGCTGACAGTGTAAGATCATGTCGTACAGTATAAGCTATGGTACAGGGTGCATTCTCCAGTGAAAATTACCAGAGCAAGCTGAAGTTTTATTGGAAGTCAGGAATGTAAAAAGACAAAATACAAAAAGACCTTGGATTAACTGGCTACCACCATTAAATTTGTTGCAATAAGCCTACACCATCTGATATTTTTTTAAAATAAATCTTTTTATTCTCTAAGTTTATCAGTACAAAAAAATCACCTGGTTTACTACTACAGCTGCCCTATAAACATGAACTAAAATGATGAAAATGTGCCAGTGTGCCATACAATCTTATACTATTCAATTTGGATGCAGTCATGATGTGGCTTTACTCTCCTTTTCTTGCTTAAAACTTGAATATGTTCCTTTAAGGAGGAAAAAGGTATTTTACCATTACTTAAGTGACAACATACCAAGTACATCAGAACAAAGGGGGCATTTTGGACAGAACATGAGGTGAGTGATCTGGCATCGAGACATTTAGCAATGAAACTAGAAGACAGAGTTTGCTTCATCATTCCCAGAACAGAAAGACATTGTAGGAGGGATCACAATATCATGGCCTTTCCAAATGACTGTCCCTTCCCTTCCACTAAAATGCTTTATTCCTTGTGTGTGATTCCCTTTAAGCCCTAAATGTGAGTTCAATACCAGCTGGAACATTTCAAATTACAATGTCCCAGTAAGATTGAGGCTAGGACCTGAAGGAACAATGATATATCATGACAACAAGAGAGAACTTAATAAATTTGAAGCCTCATTTAGCAGCATTATATCAAGTCTGTCCATGAAAAACTGACATTTTAACATTTCTTTCTCTGGTTCCAGTCAGTATTTTGTGGCATATCTCACATATAACAGTCTTTGTAAAGCAACTATTACAAAATTATTTTGATTGGTCAAACTTTGTCCTAGAAACTTTTTACCAGTGTAAGTTCACCATGTAAAAATGGCTGAAATCCTATGCCAGATGACTTTTGACTGTGTGATCCAAAACATATTCTGGAGCTTGGTATGCCCTGCAAACATAATGAATCCCTGAAAGAATTTAAAATAAAAATGCAAATCTGTATACAATTATACTTGCAGTGCACAGCCAAGCAAATAAATCTTCGATCACTCAGGTTTATGAAAAAGATGAAAAAAATGTATTAATTACACTCTACCACATTTGTTGTGGTTTCCATAAGGTCAATGCTAATAAGCCAAAATGTAAAAGAGAAAGAGTGCCCTTGATTGGTTGTAATGCTACAAGGCTTTTGCGTCATTATGAGTGTACCTCTTTATTTCCAGAACATATGCAAACTCACAGTGATTGAACATGTATGGTCTACATAAAACACTATATTAAAAAAAAAAATAATATTACCGAGCCAACTAGTAGAACATTTAAAATCTGCTTTATATCAGAAGTAAACGTGCCCATGCAACTTTAACTTAACCTCCTTCATGCACAGGCATTGTAATATACTTCTTAATCACAAGATTGTTTAATATTTTTTCCACAGGATTCCTGCCTCATCCACTAAGCAGAATTAAAAATGATTACTCACAAGTTATTTTAACAGCATTGCCTGTTATATGTTCTTGTTTAATGCAGTTTTCAAACTCTGCTGTCCTACCACATTTCACTTTGTAAGTAAAAAAAAAAAAAAAAAAAAACCATTAAAACTGCTGTCTTGATGCCACTGCCTGGGTGGAACTGATTTAAAGCACTGAACCCATCAATTCATTTCCCCTTTTGTTGTCGTTGGGGGAGGGATTGGTTTGGTGGTGGCAGAGGTTTGCTGACTTGGTATTATTTCCTAGCAAGGCAGTTTTTTTGGCAGTAAAAGTAGGGGATTGCATACCATGAAGACTAGCAATCTACAATCTGAAAGCTCAAAAATTAAAAGATTTATTTCTAGTGTTTGTTAATTTAACTCTCTCAGCTTGTCTTAGCCATTTAATGTGTTTGGGGTTTTTTTTGGTTTTTTTGTTTTGTTTTGTTTTGGGGTATTTGTTACGTTTTGCTGTTGGGGTTTTTTTAATTGTGCTTACATTACTAATGGGTGCATTATTTATGTGCTGTTGGTTCAGCTTGTATCTGTGGATATGACATCTCTATATACTAATGGCTAGAAATGTGACAGCGCTTATGATTTTTTAATGGACATTAAAGCAACAGTGACTATTAGTAATAGTGGATGCCAATTCTTTTAGCAGTTACTACATCATAATATTTTAAATAATGTGTTTGTTTCAAATAATGAACAGCAAAGCCTATGCCAGCAATGTAACTATTTGTAATGCTTACACAGCCTAAGCATTTGAAAAGAAGGAAATTAAGAACCTAAATATGCTATGCAACCTACACAGATCACATAAGACAGTAGCCACATACAAGCTAATGAGCATTTTACCAATGAATACGTTGAAATCAAAGTCTACATATATCAAGAAAATATATTTCGTTCAAGGAAGAAGGCTTCTAAATACCAGTGGTTCTCACTATTCTGAATTGGGACACATTGCAAGCTCCAGTAATCTAACTCAGCAACTGAATCATTTTTGAGAAGATAAGCAGAACAACTTTTTTTCTGAAATGCTGATTTTGCAGAGCAGTCTGCATAATCTAATAATGGGCTACTTTAAAGTGTGAAATTAACCTGTATTAACGTAACTCTCAGCAGTAGGACGAACTCAGCTGCAGCTGATTTCTGAAAAAAATCCCAATGCTACATAATCTGACTCTGCCCTAGGGAGGGTAGGATCCACTCCTGAGAGAGCGCTCAAAATGACGCAGTCTTCAGGCATTGTTGGAACACCTTTATCAGAAGGCTACAGGCCAGCAGCTTTTAATCTCTAGTAGTCAGATTTTTCTATCAAACATCAGGTGCCTGTTGTGAAAGACTTGGCCTGTGACCTGATAGTGTTAAAGGCATGGCATGAGAAACACAAATTGTTAACATGAAATCCAACTTTGGGATCTGCAAGTTATTGATAAAGAATTTATTTATGAACCAGACTGTGCATCTGACATGAGTAAAAGCTGTAAATTTAACTAACCGTCTTGTACTTTAAAAGCACTTTGGAGCATGAACCTACACAACTACTCATATACAAAGAACTGCTTAGATATGGTGAAATATCAATACACAATACTGCAGCAAATCGCAAAAACTTGTATGTAGGCCAAAAGACCTTGTTCGCAAAAACAATGTGAAATGATTCCAATGCATGTCAAATTACTATCTTACCTGCTGCAAATGACAGAGGGGCTGATAATAGGGTCTGACAGGCTAGGTGCACTCTGAGTAGAGGTTAAGACTTTGTGTGGCTTTAAGCCTTGCTTGGTGTCAGTATCTGTAGAGTCTGGAAATGACACAGAAGAGGTTTTTCCAGTAGGACTTGTGGCAGGCGTCCCCTGAATTGGTGAATGGCATGGGGAGGAGAGAGGTGAGATATTCGGTGGGATACCTGGCAAGAGGAAAGAGGAGTCTTGTCAATTAATAGAAGTGGCAGATGGTTGTATGAGTTCACCATGCAGAAATACTCCTCTTGAGATGTGCAGGTACCAGCATAGCTTCCAAACAGAAAGAGAAAACCCTTCTCCACTCTGAGCCAAGCCCATGGCTGTCACAGAAAGATGAAGCTCCATTAATATCAGTCACTTCTACATGCTGAAGATCTGGCTCAAAATACGAAGCATATTCTCCCTGTTGAGTAGGATGCACTAACTGGCAGGCATGAAATGAAAGGCATGCCTTAGTGGCACGACTATTGGTATCAACATGTTCTGGCGACAGAGATACTAGCTCCAAATAGGCAGCTCCCAGACCCATCTGCAATTTCTCTGCTTCACTGTCTCCATCTGTAAAGCAGGGACAAGAAAGGCTTACACACAGTCCCACCAAATATGAATTTCTACGTGCGTGAAGACTAGCAATAAATGAAAAAACCTATATTTAGTAGTCATACGTTTATGAGTATAAAATATTGCACTTATGGTGCCATTTCCACATTCCTCACAGAATTGAGCCATGATCTTGTACAGCTTGAGTTTATTTTTCAGTATCTGTTGCTCACTATGGGAGACTTGTGACCATTACCTTAACCACACGGTATTGTACTCCTGAGCTAGTGTATCAGAAACTGCCAATGTCCACATGTGCGAACACTAGCAAGATGTCATTCTCTCTGTCCCCTATTCTATGGAAGCACCACTGCAAAGAAGAAAACTGGCATCTGCCAATCCAGTGTTTGAGACTTCTCTTCAAATCCACTTTAGATTTTCTAGTCTCAGACAAAAAGGTCCCATTCACAAGAAAGTGCAGGGGAGCAAAGATAATCTATCTTAAAAGGAAACGCATGTAAATTGACTTAACCTCCTGAGCTTTGTTCTAAAGTTTGTAAGAACTCAGCCCCAGTTCATTCACCATATTCATCTTCAAAGCCAAATGATACAAAGAGCTTGAGAACTTTAACTGGGTTTATGTTTGAATTGTGCCCACTATCTAAATGTGTTCCAGACACAAAAAAATATCTTAGAGTAAGGCAATATGCTGATCTAAGTTTATGAAATAGTAATCTTGCAGGATGTTTGTGTGCAGTTCCAGTGGTTTTTCCTGATAACAACTTACTGTGATACGAGGTTAAAATATGATTTACTGTTGACAGTCCAAGACTTAAAAATAATCTCTGGCAGTTACTAAACTGTAATTTTGAGATATCCAACATCTAAGTTTTGATTAGGGTATTTCTTCAGCAAACATGTGGTATGTATTACTGCCTTAATTCAATGATTGCAACTAGGATATTACGCTAGTCTTGAGATCAGAAACCTACAGCCTACAGACCAATTAAAAGGTTATCAGATGGCCATGATATATGGATATTGCTTTAAAATACAGAAAGCCTCGGTTTCACATTTACTAATCCTTGGAGATATCTGCTTTCCATCCAACAAAACTATGTCTTTAAAAACATTTCACAGCCTGTTAGTTGCACAGGGGATTGAGTTGCATTATTATCTATATTTGAGCTACATGTTCCCAGGTAATCTTCATGACTGTTAGAGAATACAATATATGTGGTCATCTTTCAACAACTTAAAGCAAGTCCTGGGAATTTAAATAGTAATTTTCACAATAATGTTTCTCATCATAGCCGGCTTTCTACTGCTGGTCTGGGCTCCTGTCTCTTGAAATATGTTTGGTTGTTTTTGTTTCTGTTTTTGTTTTTAAAACAGTAATTTGCCAGGATAGGTAACCAAAAATGAATAAATTTACCAGAAAAATGCAGACCTGCTTTCAATAAGCCAACATTTAACCATTTATTGGCAAAAGTAAGAGAAAACATATCTTGCTACAGCAAGGAACTCTGACCAATCAACATAAGATGAACAATACAGGGAGAACTTTTTTAAGTACCTCCATCTGCTTAGGTCCACCAGAACTTTTACACATGTGCAGTACTGAAGAAATAAAACAGTTAACTTGAATGTCATGTGAAATTACAAATGAAAACACTTGAGTTTACCTGTGAATTTTGCCAAAATAGGTATAGCTTGCAGTATTTTAAAATGCTAATGTTTTCACGCATAAAAACACATTTTGTAAATTAACAGATTTACAAATTTATCTAGATCAATTTATACCATGAATTATTATATATTGCCAATGGCGTTAATATATAAAAGTCTAATTTGTATTAACTAGTGCAAATTGAACCAATTCTTTAGTTGGAACACAAAACCAAATTATAACTAAAAGTGCATGATTACAAACAGTCTAAAACATCAAAATATTGGTCTTCTACATAAAACATTGACCCAAAATTGCTTGTGATGGAACGGAGCTCTCCCTCCATCACCGGGCAGCTTGTGTCGTTGGGCAACAGAAATGACTTAACACTTTCTGGAAGTAGAAGAGGCTAAATGTAAAACTGACTGATGGGGTCAGTAAGTCTCATTTTCAATGTATAAAATATTACCCACACAGAGACTGCCCCCCTTTCAAGTTAATAGGTTCATCGCTGAAAATTGCAAGTCCAAGTTGGATTTGTTTTGTTCTAAAACAAATTCCTGGATTCTTTGTACTATACCTCCATTATTTTCCAGTTTAAATTTTATTCATTTGCCTATGTGCTTACTATCTTCTAAGATAATATTGTGTTACTTAATCTTCACTGTGGTATAACAAAGCAGCTTCTGTACAAGAGGAGATTAAACAAACTCTTCAGTTTGAAAAGGAGATGCAATGTGACAGTGCTAGATATGCAGAATAATTGTGCAGCCATATCTTCAAACCCATCTCTAAGTTTGGGTTCTCTGACTTTTCTGATGTCAGGCCTCAGGCACCTATCAATTTCCATCTGATGTCTGGGTGGCCTGTATCTCTGAATAACATTGTTTCAACATTATTCCATGTCTGGGGAAAAAAAAAATAAACGGCTGATTTAAAAAAGGAAGGCCTTGTGATCATTTTGAATTACATGTTAAAGCATGGGGAAACATTACTTTATCCTGCCTTTCTACAAAAAAATCCATTTTACTATGGATTAAGACTGATTCACGGCTGTCATACTGTATATTTCATTATCAGTTAAGAAGTCACCTTCTCAATTTCTTCAGTTAAAACAGGAGTCATTTTTTAAAGGCCCTAAATGCTGAGTAAAAACTCACATATTTCTCATCTCTAAAAATCAGCAGGAACTACTTGGACTTTCTCAGTGACGAACATACAGAGATAGACCTCTGAGTTATAATGGCTGTATCTTGGATATGTTTGCATAAGACAGGTCAGTTGCTGCCTACAGCTCTGAATGGCTTTATGTAGATTGTACTTCAAGCAATCTCAGTCAGGCAATATACACAGACAGTTAATTTGACAAATGTCATAGAAAACATTCTGTTCTCAGCCCTGTTGCAGTCAAGGGAATTACATGGATATAAATCACAACATGATTTAGTATCACACTTGCCACATCATGTCATGACTAACCTCTGTAAATCATAAAAGTCAAAACATTTACAATGGCATCACCATGAGCTATAATATTTTAAGGCACTGTTGTTGCTTTTTTTTTTCTTTAATAAAGAAAATAACTATATTTATATTGATGGAAAAATAAGAAAAGACACAGATTGGACAGAGACCAAAAGCAGCTGCACGTGCTAGTCACAGTGAAGCAGCTAAGCAAGCCTGACAGATGCCCACTCACCTTGCCGGCTCTGCCTTTTGGCATTCAGGTGGTTGGTAGAGGACATGGTGTAAGAGGTGGAGAAGGACCTGCTCTTCGTGAGTGTCATCAGAATTGAGCTGTTCCAGGAGTCAGCACTGCAAAACCAGAGCACAAACAAGCATCGTTTGAAACAGTAAAAGGCCCAAATGGCAGATCTTAAGAAGTCAGGAGCCACAGCAAGATGTATGCGATACTATGATAGCACAAAAACTGACGAGGAAAACAGCGTCTATCTGCTGGCTGAACTGCTATTTGTGAGGCGCTCAGTATTGTATTCAGCAAAAATATTTACACTGCAGATGCTCTAAAGCTGGGCTTCCTTCAGTGCTGAGGCCTATTCACTTTATTTATGCAAAGATGTCTTCATTATATTGTTCTGACAGTAGAAAGAGGCTTAAAAGTTGACTTGAAATAAGTTAAATTTATATTCTCTTTTAACGCCTCCTTACAAGAGCCAGAAGTGCCAGAAGGTCTCAGTGTAAATGAAAAATCCGTCTCCTTGACTCCTCTGCTGCAACTGCCAAGGCAGATACCCAGTAACCCTTCGGGCACTGGAGGAGCTCCTCAGGAGGCTGGAAGAGGCTTGGAAGAGCCCTGCATTGCTGTTGCTAGCGGTGGGCCTCTTCTCTGGGTGAAGCACTTCATGCTATAGCCAACTGAAACGCATGCTGCATCTCAAAAGAAATCCTACTGACAGACCCTGAAGGCATTGGTCACTGATCCAAGAGGAACTCACTGGAGGAGAATAGGGTGAATGAGTCTGTGTGTGTGTGGAACAAATGCTGGTCTCCTACAACAGGATAAGTTTGTCCTTTCAGCCTTCAGGCTATGTACCAGATGAGGCCAAATACTTCTGTAAAGCAAGAGAATTGTATTTGTCATTGTCTTCCTGAATGACACTCATCAAATGTCAGCTGCTTGCAGGGAGGTAGCACTGGCTCTTATCATGAGGCCTATGACCTCTATCCGTGAGGCCTCTCAGCCTCACATCCAAGCGATGAGAGAAGAAGCCTTGTAAAGCAGCCTAGTCCCAGCTGAACTTGAAAAATTCAACTTGGGGAAAAAAAAAAAAAAGTGTTCTGAAAGAACAAAGCATGTAACATCAACTTAACTCTACAAATACCTTATCATTTTGGAAGAGCGAGCACTACCTACAAAAATATTTGCAGGTTGTTTTTTGGCCCAAATTCCCATAATCTGTGATAAAGTAAGATGAAAAAAGAATCCAGCTGTTTGTTGGTTTGGGGTTTTTTTTGTTTTGTTTCGTGGTTTTGTTTTTTAACTGACAGGAAGACTACAACGCACTGACCCACTGTAAAGAAAAAACAAATCAAAACAAAAACCCCCAAACCACATTCTTTGACTTCTTAAGGGAGAAGCACTGGATATAGAAGTGACTGAGGGAAGGCAGGTAGAAGCTCTGTTATTTTTCCCCTATCATTTGAAGCTGTAAGAGGACCATGTCCTACCAGTTTAGTGACATGGGATTGGAAGAATACAGGATTACTACTCTCAAACAGAGATTTAAGGGGGATTTTTGCAAATATATGACTATAGAAATCTAGAGGTGATGTCCCAGACTGTGACGAACAAGTTGCAGATTTTGTAAATACAGAATCTGCCGCAACCCCTCAAACCACAAAATGTTTCTTTCTCTGTGACCTGTGGCGTGCTTGAATTTGGTACAGGGGAAGTGGCAGATAATCAAGATTTTTTTACCTCTTCAGTTCAACATTCTTTTCCTTGAAAGCAAATCTGTATTGGTCTGCCAAAATTTTTAAAGCTAGACTTATAGGATTCATTTTTCCCCTTTCTGGAATACACGTTGTTTCTCCTACTGTAAAAGAAGAACTGAAAACAGTAGGCTGGGAGGTTTGACAGAGCTGTAATTATACAATTGGCGACATTAAACGTAGGAAGAATTGATAGCACGCTTAGTTGGCTCATCATGCAGAGTTATATAACAACTGTAGAAAAGGACCAACAATAATATTTAATTGCTCTCCTTCTCCCTCTGATTCCCATCTTAGGATGCTTACATACTACGTGAGAGTCTGGGATCAACAGTATAAATCAAATGCACCCTGGGAACCACAGGCCGGTGACTCAAGAACATTTCCATTTGGTTATAGCTTCTTTATATTTACTTTTACTGAGATACATGGGACTCCTCAGAAAGGGAACTTTGGCTAACCACGTATTTTTCTTGCACCAGACATGCAGTGTACTCTGCAGGCTGCCTTGAGCACCTAGGCGCCCTTCATGAAAGCTTCCTCTATGGGAAAGGTTTAAGTATCTGGAAAAAAGGCTGATCAAAGCAGCTTTCTGGGGCTGCATTCACTCAAGCTATCCAACAGGAAACGCTAGTGATGTTGATCCTTCTCAGGTCCTATCTTTTTCTCCACTACCGGTACCAAATTTCAAACTGCAGAAAAACACATGAGTCTTCTGATGTCAGCACTCTGAATTCTCTTCTTGAATTTGGTGCTTTTGCTCTGCTCTTCCTTTCGCCATAGCAAAGCATGTCTCCACACTCTCTCCTCATCCACCAGCTCCAAGATGATAGCCCTTGAAGATGTGGAGAGGGGACCTGAACTTTATTCTCACAGAGTGGCACCGTGGCTGCATGACTGACTGCCCTCTGTCTTTCCTTTGAAGGCTCTGCTCCTTTCTGTCTAGAATACAAAAGTATTTCTAGAGCCAGAAAGGAGGAAATCCTGTTGAAATAGCTATGCAACATATCATAGTTAACAGCACCTGGGACCCAACCCTCTTTTCTCACAAACAAGTGCCATTCCCACAAGACTAACATCCATTCAACTCCTTCCTTCACTGGCTGCTACTGGATTATCTGCCACAGCCCTTGCAGAGGGTTAAATGTAGCTCACCTCAGGCTATCTGATAGCACAAAAGTCCCAAAATGCAAGGTACCTAGGTCTGAATGCCCTCAGGCAGAGAAGCAACTTTATTAGGGTAGTCCTCTGTGAATGCCCTAAACCAGTCAGCAGCTGAGCGGACACAACTTCTCTCTCTCCATTTCATGGGAGGACTTGTTTTTTATGATACTGCCTCAGGCCCTGAGAAACAGAGAATGAGCAAGAGTGAGCAAGGAATACCTAACTGATATAGTCAGTCATGAGGGACTATAGCTGTAAGATAAAAACCCATCTCTTTAGAATAGGGAGAACTAGTGCACTTCTGGGTAACTCTGAAAGACTTTCAGGGATATGCTTTAGGAAACTGGAACTAAATTTTGGTTTGGGCACAAAATGGAGTAGATAGGTACCTCAGCCTATGCAAATCTCTTGGCAGATCTAATACTGTGTTTCTACAATGCACTATATAAACACAACCTTGAAGTGTATGTGTCATGATTGAATCCAGAACTCTTTTTCCAGGCAAGAGAAACAAATCATGTACAATTTCTCCAATGATTTTGCTGAAATTAATTTCAACGTTTTAATAATTACAGCCTGCTTACAGAACCCTTGAAAATATGGGGCTTCTTAAATGAATAAGTAAATAAATGCATCAAAAATAGAAGCAGGCACTCAGTCTGCACCCAACAAAACAGCTGTGTGTATTTGCTTCTTGTGGCAAATTAGGAAAAGCCTTTTAACTAGATGAGACAGTTGGGATTAAGGATGGGACAGCCAGGATTCTGAATCCCAGAAGCTAAACTCTGTGGTCAATGGGAAAGAAGTGTTCCACTGCAGTGCTTAAAATTAGGGAAAGTACAGCAATCATCCTGCAAGAAAACTACACTGCCCATTTCATTTTCAGCTTTGCTTTCAACCTCTACTAGCAAATCTTCCTTTGTAATTTTTCTCCTAGATTATACCTTTTTTTTTTTCCCCAATGGTAACAAATCTATTTTCTTCTCTTTGCTAAATCACTTTTTAACTTACTTAACTCAATAGTTTTTATTTACCATCTATTGCTGGTATTGTATTTGTATGAGTTCATTCAGAAAGCCCTAAGCACTTCTTGTATTCTGGAATTATGTGCGTACATTGGATGCAGGGCATGCACAGTGCTGTATGGTCTGATGATACTCATCTCCATGGGCAGAAAACCACAAAATTGTGTATTTTAGGAAGGTCCACTTAAAATCAGGGTTTGTGTTCTGGAAGTTAGTATCTGGAGGATGGACAAGTGCTTTATGATCTGGTTTAATGACAGGACCACATCACTAGGTGTGTTCTTAGAAGTGATGTTCAGCAGCTAGCTTACTTGTTAGAATTTTTTCTTGGCTGGGCAATACCCGTGGAGGAAACCACTGCCTGTCAAGAAATCTTTAACCAGGTATCTTGCCTTGTTTTCAATTTTATTGTGCAATTCTGCACTTCACTAGCATAAATAATTTTTAAAAAAAATTTTGCTTCCCAATAATAGGAATAGTTTTGGCATAATCTGACTACAATTTGGAATGCCACTTCTTTGGCAATCCAGTTTAGTGTATCATGATGAACTAGTTCTAATACACTTTCAAGTCAGCATTTTTAAATGAGGGATACATCACACAGAAATTTGCCCACAGAGAGACATAAAAGAGAGAGGAGGTAATTTGTAACCTGGATGAAGATGATTCATGAGGTTTGATGCTGGCACTGCGATCCCTTCTCACTGGAGCTGGCTCCAGTGTAGGTAGTCCTGTGGCTGATGTTGTTGTGGTCCAAGTTGAGGACACTCGTCTCAGCAGTCCTGGAGGCAAACTTCTTCGTAAGCGCTAGAGAGAAATCAGTTGTTTAGAGTTTATACAGGCTTACAAAAACTTTAAACATGCAGAAGAAAAACATTTCCATTTGGTTAATTCTGCCTGACAACCCCTAGTGAGGTACCTTAAATCCGGATTCTCCTAGATATTATGGTGCCTACCTTCTAGTCAAATCAACACAGCTGGTGCTTTAAATGTTTGAGGGTCTGGACCACCCTCCCCATTTCAAGTTTAAAAAAAGGTATATATCCATAGCCACAGATGTTGAACACTCAGAGCTCTCACTGGAGTCAGCCAACGTTGGTTGTGGTCTTCAAAAATTTTGGTCTTACATGATGCGGCCAAAGGCACTTAAACAAGTCATCAGGGCCATAAAGGTGAACAAGGGATTGGAGCATCTGTCATAAAAGGAGAGGCTGAGAGAGCTGGGATTGCTCAACCTGAAGAAGAGAAGGCACAGGGGAGATCCTACCAATGCATATAAATACTTTATGGGAGGGTGTAAGGAAGATGGAGCCAGGCTCTTTCCAGTGGTGTCCAGTGACAGGACAAGAGGCAATGGGACACAAATTGAAATACATGAAATTCCATTTAAATGTAAGAAAATATTTTTTACTGTGAGGATGACTAAACACTGAAAGAAGTTGCCCAGGGAGGCTGTGGAGTCTACATCCATGGAGATACTCAAAACCCAACCGGACATCCTCCTGAGAAATCTGCTCTAGGTTGAGCCTAGAGAAACCTGCTCCAGGCTTAATTTGTTTGAGCTGAGGGACTGGACTAGACGATCTCCAGATTAACCTCAACTGTGATTTAAACTGTCATGAATGCTCAGAATGAGAGATTCAAGGCAAGAAAGGCTGTAGGAAAAATAAGGAAAGGGAGTTCCAACTTTTCTTCCTGCTATATCTACCCAATCCAAAGACCATCCACTGAAATAAAACTTTCATGCTCTGGGATATGACATCTCCTGAAAAGCTTAGAGAAAGCATCACTGTTTACAGCAGATTTTTCTTGACAACCTTGCATTTTTCTTTCACTTGACTCTTCCTTTTCTCCACTAATAGGACTCACGTTGTTTTTCCAAATTTTTGAAGGCAGAGGTAATAAAGGATGATGATAGAGAGTTTCTGGGGATCCAGATTTGTGTTGTAGATGCTATAATTTTGTAAGATGTTTCTCTTGTAGTTCTCGTGAAGTGTTTATAGTTAACAACTAAAATAAATATGTCTCTGTGATGGAGAGCTTTGACTTTGCCAGAGGGTTAAGAGATAAGAGATGGAAGATACTTGTGGTTCTGAAGCTGAAACTTGAAGATAAATATGTTAGCATACTATCTCCTTACCCAAAATGCTCGGCATCAGATTCTTAAGTTAAAGACCCTAAATCTATATTTAGACATTTAAATAAAGGACTGCAAACTATTAGTTTTATGAACCATAATACATTTAGGTCAGTGAATTCTTCACTCAAATTAGTTCTCTGTAGCATTAGCTCACTTCTTCATCCTTCATTTCTCTTCTCACTTGGTATTATGCAACAGCAAACTGGAATCTGTTCACTGTGTTTGCTCATGTGATGGCAGTGTTCTCCCACTTAAATTTTCCCCTCAGAGCCTAGAGTACAGCTATTATAGACATGTACACTAAAATAAACTAGAAAATGTGCTTAGAAACCTGTGAACATCCATTTTATATACAGCTGCTACATAGGCAAATAGGGTAATAATTATCATCACACTAAAATAAATTAAAAAAGAATCACAAGTGTTGCAATTCAGATGCTGGGAAATGTTGGAATGAATGCTGGCTCTGCCATTTAAACTGTTAAAACTTAAAAGCATTCGCCTGCGCAACGTACTCTGCCTATATTTAATTTTACAAGGGAGATTGCAGTACAAAAGTACTTTGGTTTAGTTTCAAAAGTGAAATGTCAGCCTTGCAGGACAGCTAATTAGCAACGAACCTATAATTCAAACTACTTCAAAGCTGGATGCGTTCTTTCTAGTTGTTCATTTACTAAATGTGGGTGGCTAACACTGATTATTTCCTGTCAGATTCCTTAGCATTCATAAAGCCATCTGTCAAGGCAGTAATATATTATTTTTTCTTTGGTTCAGTCTTCTTTTTCTTCTCAAGCCTGCTTCTCATGAGCTCACAATATTTGTCACACTAAGTATTGTGGTGATCTTTTTTGGTTTTTTGTCTGTTTGGTATCCAACATTTTAAACTTGATCCAAAGCACCTGGAGGTCATCAATAGAGACTTTTTCATTGACTTCAATAGGTTTCACATCTCTAGCTAAGGGAAGGAAGAAGAGACTGAAATTCATACAGAATTTCAAATTCCAGTCCTCAAAGTGAGCAAAAAGGTCCCTCACATTACTACTTAATTTCCCACTGCTCACTGACTAGGATAGCCAACCCACATGCAGTGTCTCAAATCTTGTGAGTGGGAGGAGAATTTCCCTGTGAGAAGTAATGAGGTGGACTTGTGAGTCTGTATGCTGAAAGGCTTTTGCTTGCTCTGCTCCCTATCATTTCTTCTCTCAAGCTCCAGCCAACACCTACGAGGAAATACGCACACTGCCCATGTGAGCTATCTTGTGTCAAACATAATCTTCTAAAGATGCCTGAACCAAAGTTAACCTGGCCATGAGCTGAAGGATACACAGGAACTGTCTTACTATGAAACCAACATCTACTTAGCTGTCCTTTTATAGTAGAGCATCATCAGTGCATAAGATGTTAATCTGAAGCCAACAAGCAAAAAGCCCTGTAACATCTCCCACTAGTCCAGTGCTGTCCCTTTAGGCAGAGCCAAGTTACAAGATGATAGGTGGGGTCCAGTACTCACCTTGGGAATAGCTAGTTTCTCTCCTTTCTCTGGACATTCCTCAGAGTCAGAGCAGGTGTAGTTCTCACTGAAGGAGACCAAAGGGTTCACCCTTGGCTTGTGGATGGCCTGGAAGGTTAACTGCGTATTGAGCAGGTTGCTCACTGTTCTCAGTGAAGTACACACGTTGGGGGGCAGTGAAGGATCTGCCAGAAGGTCTGTAATGAGCCCATGTGCTTCTCCCATGACAGCGATATCCACTGTGATACTGGTACCAGAAGACTAAAGAAGACAAAAATAATACATGTAAAGCAATAGACGTGAGCAGTATCTAAAGTTGTGGTGAATGCTCTGCAACTTTTCTTAAAGCAGTTACCCACAAGGGGAAAAATAATAACATGAATTAATTCTTTAAATAAGGAGAATCATGCTGAATAGATCAATCATCAGGCATAATGCTCACAGACCGCAAAGACTTTGGAATTTCATCATATCTGATTTCACAGCTTTCACCATCTGCAGCTGATGTAACCCATGTGAATGAGTTGTTCAGGCTCCCTACAGAGATATAGTCAATGGCCAGGAGCACACAAATAATTTTGGAGATATAGCTTGGGATGGGAAGATCAGGTTCGAGAATATCTAAGGAACCTGAAGGTGCACAAGTCCATGGGACCTGAGGAGTTGCATCTGCGTGTCTTCAGGAAACTGGCGGATGAAGTGGCCAGGCCACTCTCCATCATATTTGAGAAGTCCTGGCAGTCCAGCGAAGTTCCTGCCAAGTGGAAGAGGGGGAATATAACCCCATTTTTAAGAAGGGTAAAAAGGAAGACCCAGGGAACTACAGGCCGGTCAGCCTCACCTCCATGCCTGGCAAGATCATGGAGCAGACCCTCCTGGAGACTATGCTCAGGCACATGGAAAATAAGGAGGTGATTGGTGACAGCCAACACGGCTTCACAAAGGGCAAATAGTGCCTGACAAGCTTGGTGGCCTTCTATGATGGGGTTACAGCGTCCGTGGACAAGGGAAGGGCAACTGATGTCATCTACCTGGGCTTGTGCAAGGCATTTGACACTGTCCCACACGACATCCTTGTCTCTAAATTGGAGACACGGATTCGATGGATGGACCACCCGGTGGATAAGGAACTGGCTGGATGGTCGCACTCAGAGAGTTGTGGTCAACGGCTCAATGTCCAAGTGGAGAACGGTGATGAGTGGCGTCCCTCATGGGTCAGTACTGGGACCGGCACTATTCAAAATCTTTGTCGGTGACATGAACAGTGGGATTGAGTGCACCCTCAGCAAGTTTGCCGACGACACCAAGCTGTGTGGTGTGGTCGACATGCTGGAGGGAAGGGATGCCATCCAGAGGGATCTGGACAGGCTGGAGAGGTGGGCCTGTGC